GATCTATCTATTTGACTGTAGCCATGCTTATGTTGTGAAGTCATACCTTATTGTGGACTCCCACTAAACTTTTGAAAGCCGTTCTGATTGGACCACGTTGGGTGGTAAGACCATTTCTGAATCAATCTATGTGTCAAGGTCCATTTTGTGCTGGATTGACCAGACCTGGGTCAATAGCTTCATCCTGGAGATCCTTCTAGACCATGTGGACTCAGGATGAAGAAAAGGGTTGACTCCAAGTTCAAAATCACCATCATTACTAGGGTAAGAGAAGTTGGGATGCTGGGAAGATGAGAATTCATGTCTACTAAAGCTCAGCAGCCAGCAGTGTGCTGAGGCTGTGCCCTGACCCAGGCCTGGATGAAAATCGGCTTCAGGGTTTAATCCCAAGGAATTGCTGTTCTGGGTTTCCCCTTCACTGTGCCCCTGGCACCATGGCCACTTATCCATGGCACTGACCAGTTCTAGAAGCTTTAGCCCACTCTCACCTCCAGTTCTCACCCCAGCAAGGCTGTTGATGAGGATCTGAAAAGACAGTTTTGAAATGTTTGTCAAACAGACCCCTCCTTCCCATTTTGGAAATCGTGAATTCTTCAATATGGCCCATCTGCCTTGTATCTAGCAGATGTTCCTCAGACCTTCTGGCCTATAAATACCACCCTTCACTAATATACAGTATGGATAAGATTTTTTTATTTTTATATACAGTTGGTCATTTTCTGAGGAATCTTGGAAGATAGATGGGTATGTGTTTCTGTTGTTGCCTTCCTGCACTAGAGAAGTAACTCCAACGTGTTTCCTGGAGATGGCTTATGACTCCAGCAATCTATTTCAAGGCTGGGTTAAAAATGATGCTACTTCTACCAAAAATACAAAAATTAGCCAGGCATGGTGATGTGCGCTTGTAGTCCCAGCTACTTGGGAGGCTAAGGCAGTAGAATCGGCTGAACCAGAAGGCAGAGGTTGCAGTGAGTCAAGATCACATCACTGCCTTCCAGCCTGGGTGACAGAGCATTTTTTTTTTTCAAAAGAAAAATAATGCTATCTCAAAACACATCATGTTTCACTGGACACTCTCCACACAGTCAATAATATAATAGAAATCAGCTCTCACCTATTGAAGGTTTACTATATGGTGGACACTATGGAAGACAGTTTCATGTATTACCTCATTTAATCATCAAATCCTCATGTTATTCTCACATTATAGATGAGGAAACTGAAGCTCCGAGAGGTTAAGTGACTTATCAAAAGTCACACAGTAAACTACAACAATTCACATATAGTGCTAGAAGTTTTAAGTGACCCTGACTGCCACTGTGAACTTCCCATCACTATATCCACCTAGACCTTCCTCCAATCCTGCAGAGCCTCCTTGTGAATATAAGAAACCCATCCCCCAAACTGCCTTCCTGGTTTGGCCATCATCGAGGTCTGCCTGGCCTCTTAGGTACTCTACTCTCTGGCTCCCTGACCCCAGTCTTCCTTCCTTCAATCCATCCTTTGCCCTCCAGCCAACTTTCTCTAGTGCAACACTGATTGTAACTGCCTGATTCAAAAGCCTTCAAAACCAAGGGTTGGAAACTCCTCAGTGCAGGGCACGCACAGGCTCCTGTGACGCTGTCTCTCTTGCTGTCCCCACACCCTCTGCTCCGCTGCTCATGTGAACTGTTTGCAAGTCCATCCATGCACCATGCTGCTTCTCACTTCTGTCTTTGCTCCACTAGTTATTTTGTCTTCTTACCTCTGTCCCTGCCCCTCACCAGTTTCACTCCTCTGTGCCCTTCATCCTTCAAGGCCAAATCTATGTAGCAGCCTGTAGAAGAAGACACTTCTTCAAAACCATCAGGTAGACACAGCCACCAGGTCTTTAAGCAGGAACTCCATGGCCTTGTAGCTTCGAATCACACCAGCCTACCTGGTTGACCCACTTACTAGGTTGTCCTCAGAGTAGGTAATAGAAATACTGCTACGGTCATCTGGTCGACCTGAAACCTTTTTCTTAACAGAGATCAAAGCTTAACCCATATCCCATATGGCCGAGTTCATGTCCCCTGGGCCATTTCAACAACCCAGACATAAGGAGACTTGGCCAGTTTTTCCATCTGCAAATTGGAAGGGAATGTTTCCCCCGGATAATCTCCAAGGCCCTTTTCTACTCTTAATTTCAGAATTGCACGTACTATCTTATCTTAGGGTCTACACTGAGCTAAACATGATCTGACATTTCCCCATCTCTCTCTGAGACTTGCCCCTTGTCCCTTGGTTACTTTCAGGGTACAGCGTACTCCTGGAAAGTCATCTGGGCTATAAGGAGTGGGTACTGTGCTTCCATTATTCATGAGTCCCAGGCCCAGCAGTCCTGCAGATGGAGGATTTGAGCAGTGGGTCCCCAGCAGGCTACATGTCCTACTTGAGCAGGAATAAAAGGCCAGGTTGGATGCCTGCAGGAAGGGTAAACAAACCCATACATTTGCTACAACAAAATAAAGAAAGAAAGAACGAAAAGAACTATTGATTATGTGGCAATGAAGTGCCTGGGGCTTTAACAGACATTCAAAATTGGACGCATTGCTCAAGATCAATAGTAGGTTTTATGCTTCTGACCTAAAAAGTACCAGCTCTATGTAATTTAAACACCGACAGCCATGAGGATAACTCCCAGCATCTGGCCTGCTTTCCTCAGGTACCCTGGATTCAACTGCGGCCGTCTCTGCAGCCATTTTCCTTTTACTTTCTTTCTTTTTTCTTTTTTTTTTTGCCAGAAGGTGACAGTGGATAAATAAAAGGATTATTTTCAGGAATGTGGAATCAACTGCTTCTGATATCATTGCCTAAAATGATAGCCTCAGACAGTAGTGTTGCATGGCTGAAGACGGGGAGGTCGGCTCGTGGACAGGAGGCAGGAAACAGGGGTGGGCTTCTGAGGTTGGAAATGAAGGACAGGAGAGGTGAGTGCTTACTGGCCAATTTCTCAGGCCTGGGGCTGTGCTAGGTGCACACAGCTTCTCCCTTGTCTTTGTGCCAGCCCATGGGATGGGAGGAGGTGCTGTTTTACAAGGGAAAAAACATAGTCAGTAACTTCCTTGATTGAGTGGGGATTTGGCTACAGCTAAGGGGGATGGCCAGATAATTTCTAGGGGGACATTTGTGTCTAAGAATTTTCACACGTGCATATTTTCACACACACACACTCACACATACTTCTTGTTGGCTGGGACAAACAGAAGCAGATGAGGACTGTCACTATTATAGCTATGGGTTCTGATGGCCTGAGATTCCATCCTGGCTCCATCAGTTATCAGCTGTGACTTGAGACCAGTTACTCAGCTTGCCTTTCTCTCAATTTCTTCCTATGTAAAATGGGGGCAATAATCATAATTAATAACAATAATTTCTACAGTTTAGGGTTCTTGAGAAATTAAAAGGGTCACTACAGGTAAAGTTTAGCAGGGAACAAGCACATGGTCAGTGTTAGCTAACTTTGGTAACTAGTAGGCAGGCAGGTTTGGCAGAGAATGTGGCTGTTTCAGGTTGCCAGGATGCAGGTCGAGATGTTGATTTCAACAGAGATTCCAGTTCAGCAGGGCCCAAGTGGGCCGACACCCACCCCAGCATCCTAGGCACATGCACACAGGTGAACCATGGCACCAGCCTTTCAGGAGGTAGGTTCCTACCTGTGGCTCTAGCTGCCCCCACCATGTCTCAGGCAGTGCCCTCCGGTACTCACTGGAGGGGACACCTTAACTGGGGGAGCCTGCAGCTTTTCTGGGTGCCTGACTCTCTTAACACCCCCAGAGACGATCTGTGCTGGCTCTGTTCACAGGCACAGAGTGTGTTTGTTAGGCAGAGTTGTATAAAGTTTTTTTCCCCTCTTAATTTTGTGGCAGGATAAGATAGTTAATCTGTTTTGACACGCTATCTAAATGGCCCTCAGATCAGTATACGGAAGAAGCCATCCATAAGTCATGTCTTTTATACACACGTACTGGTGTGTACGAGAGAGAGAGTTATATTGGCTGTGAGAGGCAGAATAATAATGGCCATTATTATGGCGAATTCAGGGTCGCCACATTCACTCCACATATCAAATCCTCTTTCAATGAGGCCAGTTCCATCAGCTGTCAGATTCTATTAAATATATCCCTCAGACCCACTGACCAGCTGACAGGAGAGAAACTCAAAACCACACACCCCCCATTAGCATCATAAAATGTGAAGTCAGCTGGAAGAGATGATAACAGAACTGAAAACAGAAGAGATGAAAATCTGCAATGCCCTTGTGTCTTCCTAAATAGAAACCCCAAGAGTTACAAACACACCCATAAAATACCAAGGTAAAAAACAACAACAACAACAAAAACAAAACAAAGATCATCCTGTTGGATGCTCATAACACAGAATGGCCCTTTTACCTTTTGTTAATGTGAGATTTGCATAAATGTTTCATGAGGTTAATACAATGCATAAACCAAAACGTTTATTAGGCAACATCTGTGCTGTTTTCCCAGATAATGCAGTGTTTCTTCCAAGTCAATGAAATATAACCCATCATAAGATTGGGTTGTTAAAATACTTGTGCAAGGGCTGTGATCATATTTTACACTTTTGCAGATGTTCTGGTTCTACCAGAGAATTTCTTAATCAGACAAGAGTTCGAGATGGCTGGCACCTTGGAAGAAGGTGTAGAGGTTCCCTGGGAGACAGAACAAGAGAGAGGAAGAAAGATTTCTGTGAGTTGACTAGATTTGCTTCTCCATTTTTTCAATCTAACTTTCTAAATTTGGATTTATTTGCAGAGATATTCACTAAATACTTGAAGAAAAAAAAATTAGATCTACACTTAGAATCTACCATGATCCAGAGACTGGGTCAAAATGCCCAATGGCTATGTGCAGCTACAGCCCTATCATGATGCTGGTTCCATATGGGACTCTTTAAAGCAAAAACAAAAAAAGTAACGAGACCAATAATTTTTAATGAAACTTGGCTTAGCTCACAAGTAAGTCCAGCAGATGAAACAGCAGCCCAAGCTGGAAACATGATTTTTCTTCTTCCTGGCAGGGATGAAAGAAAGCATCGCTTCAATTAAAAAAGAACCTAATGGAGATATGTTTTGTATTATCAATTTTATGCAAGTAGAGATTTAGACATTGTCTCTCCCTGCTGGTCTCTAAGGGAACCCCTCTCTTTCTCTGATGACTGTGTTAAATCATTTTAAATGTAGAAGCCTTCCTAATCCTGCTTTTTGGGTTGGACTTTTGATGGAAAGTTTCACTGAAAAATTATTGAAAGCTCTTGTCTCCATCAATTTGGGGCAGATTTTGGAGGTAGAGAAAGTTACCAGGAAATGAGGATGGAGCGCTCTCTCTCTCTCACCTCTCTCTCTCTCTCTCTCTCTCTCTCTCTCTCTCATCACTCTATCTCACTGTAGCGTTAGGTTTCCCACTAGTGACATCATTTGGGGTTGGATAATTCTTTGTTGTATGGGCTGCCTGTGAATGCTATGATGTTCAGCAGTTTCCCTAGCCTCTACCCACTAGATTCCTGTGGCATCTTTCCCCCAGTTTGTGACAACCTCCAAAGTCTCCAGATATTACCAAATGTCCCTTGGAGGGTAACACCGCCCACCAGTTGAATGCTTTAGTATTTTCCCTGAAACACTTGGACATTTGTTTACTGCCATGTCTGGGTGTCCCCTGTCGGATTATTTGCTTAAGGACAAAGGTGACTTTTTATTTAGGTAGCATCTGAGTCTGTTCATATCTAGTGGTCTAGCTTTGTCTGGGTTGGAAAAATCCCATGTGTTAGAACACAGAGGAAGAACACTGGTTGTAAAAGGCAGCCCATGTAACTGTGGGATGAAATGAGCCACGTAAGGATCCTCTTGTCCAGGTTCCTGCCTTCAGATGAAACAGCTAGGCTCACAGAGAACTTGTTCTGCCCTCACAAATGTCCAGTTGGGGCGGGGGATCTTCCTGGCACCTCTGCCTTGTCTCTGCCTTGAACGTCACTCTGTTTTCTATTTCCTGGAGCTCTTACTGCTATTTGAAATCATCTTGCTTATTTATGTGTATACATTTGCCTCTATTTTCAATGGACTGTCTCCCCCGCTAGAATGCAAACTCCATGAGAATAAGAACTTTGCTTGCTTTAAGTGGCAATGTAGCCTTTTATCCAAACTTGGGGGCTTTGGTATCAGACCCAAGATTGGCTACTTATTAGCTACATTGACTTTGGGCAACCATTTAGCCCCACTAAGCTATATTTTCCTTCTCTGTAATAATAATAATAATAATAATAATAATAAAGACCAGTTCCCATCTGATGGAATTAAATGAGATCATACTTAACACATAATACGTGCTCCACAAACATAAGCTGTTATTGCTCAACCACCATAATTATACCTAACACAGCAGTGCTTGGCATTGGAAGAAACACAATAAATATCAGTGAAGTAAACGAATGAAAGAAACACAATAAATATCGGTGAAGTAAACAAATGAATGAATGAACAAATTCTCACGTGTCTGTCTGTAATTTTATTTTACTTTTTTAAGATGGAGTATCACTCTTGTCACCCCGGCTGGAGTGCAGTGACTGGATCTTGGCTCACTGCAACCCCTGCCTCCTGGGTTCAAGTGATTCTCCTGCCTTAGCCTCCTCGGTAGCTGGGATTACAGGCGCCCACCACCACACCTGGCTATTTTTTTTTTGTATTTTTAGCAGAGACGGTGTTTCACCATGTTGGCCAGGCTGGTCTCAAAATCCTGACCGCAGGTGATCCACCTGCCTCTGCTTCCCAAAGGTCTGGGATTGCAGGTGTGAGCCACTGCGGCTGGCTTCTAATTTTAAATTTCTCTTGTTACAGTTGATAATTTGCTATCAAATCCTCTTCTCTATTTTCACTATAGCTGGGATGCCATGGTCTAATCGAATGTTTATTTCTAAGCAAGTAATTATAGCAATCATATATAAATAAAATATATATTGGGACCAATACATGTCCAATTTTTTTCTTGGTAACATTCCAATTGGTGGTATGTCTTCTCTTAGGAACTATCATTCTCTGCAAAGGCCTTCACCATTTTCTGAAATTCAGTTTTGTGCTGACCCAGACAGTTTTCTCTTTCTCATGAGTCTGTGGGTAATCTGTCAATGTCCCAAACTCGGTGAAAGTTGGACAGGGACAGTGGCAAGTGGAGCGCTTGGATGAGAGGCAGTGACATCGCTCAGCCTCCTCCCGCATATGAGTGGCAAATCACCATGTGTGAGAAATATGCTCAATCAGAGAAGAAAAAGAGATGTAATTATGTCGTTTATAATGAATTCTGAAGGAAACAAAGAATTTAAGAAGGAAAACTCTGGAGACGATCAGATCCGAAGCCTTTTGGATCATCTGAGCTGCCCTGGAGAAGACGCATAGCTGATCAAACATTCGTGCCGATCATAGGAGGCAGTCCTGGCCCCTGAGAATGCTCAGGAGGAAGCAGAAAAACTCAGGAGCCCCAGAAAACACAGTCCAGCTTTTATTAAAGAAATTATATGCTCCTCTCGGCTTCCACTTGCATCGATAATATCAACTTTTGGACAAACGCGTCTCTCTGGGGAACAGGTTCTGAGACTGGCTCCTAATCTTCTTCCTTTGAAGTATCCAAGGGCTTAAAGGCATGTGTCAATATCTGGGGCCTCTGGCCTTTGTAGGAATGGGTTCGAAAGGGTCCTGCTGTGGAGGAGAGTGAGACCACCAGCATCCACATCCCCCTTTCTGGGCTGACTGTTTCCATTCAGCCAGCCTTCAGCCTCCAGACCACCACCTGCCCACGCAGCAGTGAGGACTCCCTGAGGATCCTGTGTCTCATAAAGAGGTGGTCACCATGAACCTCCTGTTTTAACACAGGCCATGCTCAGGGGTTTCCACTTTCAAGAATAAAATATTTCTAAAAGATTGATTATGGCCCTTGTTATATCATATGATATGGAATATCATTAACTAACTCTTTTGAAAATTATAATGAGAATTGAGTTTATTAATATCTTTGCATACTATCGTCTTTACCAGCATTTCCCAAGTGTGCTGCTAATGTAACAGCCAACACCTAGTTCCTGTGTATTCTGTCACAGGCCCTGTGCTAAGCACTGCACGTGCTTCATCATACGTGCTCTTCACACCAGATACAGCAGATTAGTATGATTATGCTCATTTCATTGAATCCAGATCCTATACTATAACTAAGGTTTTCTGTCAAGTGATTTTGTAAAAGTCACTTGACCACAAAACCTTAAAGTATAGGATCTTTATTTTATACTAAAGTATAGTAACAAAATTCATTAACCAAGATTAATGAATGTTGTCACTATAGGAATTCTCAGCCTTTTAATATATTTACATCCGTTAGAAATCTTCAAGAGGGAGAATAAAATATTTAAACTTTTCTAAACATATTTTTACCATGGAACACTTTTTTCCCCTAGTGTTATTTCCAAGGGTTGGTTTTCTATAGGAACCTTGCTAGGGAGGGTATGTTCCTAAAGAAACACAGAATCTACTTTCTGGATTAGTCACAAGGTTGCAAAGTAGATCATTGAATGTTTTTGTTTTGTTTTGTTTTGTTTTGTTTTGTTTTTGCTTGTTTGTTGTTGAGTGAATTCTTATGTTTCTACAAACTACTTTCAAAATTGCAATATCAGAATTGAAAACTTGATATAGAGCCAAGGCTATACCATGCTGGATATCAAAAGTCATGGGACTACTTCGGCAGAATTTTCACTGCTTATAAAAATTCTCACCAACTTCCTTCATTTTACCCTCTAGGCAATTTCCTAACTTACAGGATCTTTTTCCGGGACGGGAAGAGATTCTTTCAGCAGAACCTCTACAACTTACCTGAGAGCAGGGGCTAAATAGTCCACAGACTGAATCTGGCCTGCCACCTATTTTTGTAAATAAAGTTTTATTGAAACACATCCATACACATTCCTTTACATACTGTCTCAGCTGCTTTCACACTATAGGCCCAGAGTTAAGTAGCTGTGACAGAGACTGTACAGACCACAGAACCTAAAATATTTACTATGTGGCCCTTTTCAGAAAAAGTTTGTCAACTCTTGGCTCAGAGCAACATATTTACAATGACTGTAGAGCCTGGCTACAGTGCAAAACTTCTTCAGTAGAAGCCACTGCCTAATATACCGTAAGTTCAATTTGAGGCAAGCTATTGCCATGGCTTACACACCCTTTAAATTTAGAGATCCTATGTGAAGCCTGTTTTCTGTAGAAGGAGAAAGGAAAAAGACACCAGTAATGATTAAGCTATGATTAGGTATCTGGAAAGGTACATATACTGCCCCATTTATAACAATTTAGATAAGCAGATGGTGACCCTATTTTATGCAGAAGAAAATTAATTCAATGAGTTGAAGTCATTTGATCAATAAAGGATTTGCATCTCAAACTCTGACTCAAAGTTAGGTGCTGATTCTACAAAATGCTCAAGAGTTAGGAATCTGAAATTACATAGTCAAGATTCCAATTCTAGCTCTGCCATGAACTAGTTTTGTGACTTCTGCAAGTGACATAACTGTGTGCCTCAATTTCTTCACCTGTGAAATGGGAAGGAAAATACTATTTTAGTAGAATTTTGAGTACTAAATGAGGTAATCTGTGATACGTGGCATATTAAGGGTACTGAGCATGTGTTGTTAATGTTAAGTGGGGAGGGGCAGAAAAGGATGGAGGATGACATCTAAACTTTTGCCTTGAACAAATTGGGAGTTGGGGTGGTATATTTGCCTTATCACACATATAAGTGAACCTCTTGAGCACAGAGGGTATTTTCCTGTGTCTTCCACACACCCCCTGTCACCTCAAATGCCTTGGACAACATATTCCACTGATGCTTACCGGTTGGTTGAAGGTAGAATCAGAGAAAGAGGACTATGAGAAAAGTGAATTTTTTTTTTCATTTTTATAAATTTAGGGGGTACAAGTACAGGTTTTTTACATGCATATATTGCATAGTGGCGAAGTCTGGGCTTTTAGTGTACCCATCACCTGAATAGTGAACACTGTACTGAATGGGTAACTTTTCGGCTCTCATCCTCTTCACACACTGTCCCAGCTTTTGGAGTGTCCAGTGTCCGTTATTCCACTCTGTGTGTCCGTGTGTAACCATTGCTTAGCTCCCACTTATATGTGAGAACATGTCGCATTTGACTTTCTGTTTCTGAGTTATTTCACTTTGGATAACGGTCTCCAGTTCCACCTATGCTGTTGCAAAAGACACGATTTCATTCTTTTTTATGGCTGAATAGTATTCCATGGTGTGTGTGTGTGTGTGTGTGTGTGTGTGTGTGTGTGTAATAGGAAAGTGGAATCTTGAGCTACTAAAACTGTTGGCAGAATGAGCTAATGTGGTGAAATTGGTTGGCACTAATGACTGATTTTTCCTTCAACTTCAGATGACTTGGCCTTTGTCTAATATTTCAGTGATCTACTACCCCAAGCTTAATGCCTTAAAACAACAATCATTAATCATCTCTCAAGATTCTGTGGGTTGATTGAGCTCTGTCAGGTGGTTCTTCTGTTCCAGGTGTTGCTGATTAGAGCTGGAATCATCTGGGGATTCAATACTGCTGAAGCAACCAAGAGGGCACTCTCACACAGTTGCAATCAATACTAGCTGTGGGCTTGGAGTCCATTTGGGACTGTTGAGCAGAGCACCTTGATTTACCTCCATTTGGCCCACCTTTGACTTGGGCATCTCACAGTGTAACTGTTGGGCTCCAAGGGAAGAAAGCTTAACTGTCTTTCTCAAAGAAAAATTGCACTTGGAAGTCTCGAGACAATTTTTTCGTCCAGATTCAAGGAGAGAGGAAATGGGCTGCCTTTGGATGACAAAGAATTAGTGGCCGGCCATCTTTAAGCCACCATACTCAACTCCTGAACCCCTGTCTGACCTTGCCCTGGAGCTGGTCAGCTACAGTCAGCATCTTCCTCACCGACAAGTCACTCCTATTTTTCTGTTTGAGAGGTTACCCAGGTCTTAACTTTCAATGAGTCTCTTAGTGTGTGAACATTGCAGTATGTTCAGTAAGGCCTGAGGGAAGGTATTATCACGCCCCTCCTTGTCCTTTCATTGAGTTTCTTAAAGCAATTCCAACATTGCCCACACCTCTGCTTCTTCTGGTCTTCCTCCTCTACACCCAAATAACTCCTGCTTGCCATTCCTGTCTCAATTTAGGACTTGCCTCCTCCAGGAAGCAATCCCTGCTTTGTACCCACTCCCCTAGCTCAGTGCTCTCAATGCACCAGGTAAGGGATTTAACCCTCCCTTACCTGGCCCTGCCCATCCAATCATTGCATTTATCCCCTGAGCTGTCACGGGCTGCTCAGTTCCTGCTCATCTCCATTAGACAGAAGATTTCACAGAGGATGGGATCGTGCTTAATTCTCCATTGTGTTCCCAGAGCCTCACATGGTGCCTGGGATCCAGTTGGTGCTCAATAAATGAAATCTGTCCACTGTTTCCTACTCTCCTATTCCCAGAATCCAAGCCATCAAGAATGCTAAAGATTGGCAAAATTGGAAGAGGTTAAGCCTGGGAGAAATTAGTAGAGAAGGCATGAGACCCCAGGGGGAGGGGAACAGAGAGACGCTAAGAACAAGGGGACCCCTTTGCTGGGCCAAGAATCCTGGTACCATTGAGTCAAAGTCAGGCACTTGTGTCCCAATGGTTTCCTGAGCTATGGTAAAGTCTTAAACCCCAATAAATGTTTTATTCACATCCAAGAACACCTTATACCTTGGTGTGGCTCAAAGACCCTGCCTGGAAAGGAGAAGGGGGCACACTGAGAAGGTCACATCTTTGGGCTCTCCTGCAAATGTTCTTCCAAAGCAAACACATGTGAGTTTATAAAAGCAGGTTCATAAAAAAGAAATCAGAGGGGAAGTCTTGGATCTAATAATGCCCCAATTCCTTATACTTTTCCACAGGCATCTGGGGCCTGACCCCCCAGTCAGATTGAGCCACCCACCCAGATGATAGCTGGCCCCTAAGCTGAGGGGCCTGGGGAGGCTTCAGTGATCCCTCTGCTGTAAATGTTGCCTCAGCTGGCCTATAACTCTGGGGCTGTGGAGGTGAGCGTTTATTCATAATAAGTAGCATCTGGCTGAGCAGGGGCCTTTCCCACCCCCAATATACCAGGTCATACAGGCAGAGCCCAGGCTGTGGTCTTCTGGGGACAGATTTCAAAGCAGCTCCTTAATGGACCTCCCCTAGGTACTAAACAAAACTGCTCCTCCTCACTGTATCCTGTTCTCCCTGACTTCTTCCTCCCTAAGAGCAATGTCCCACATCCCAGCTCACAGCATAGACCTCTTCCTTACTTCTGCACAAAATACAATTGTGTATTTCCCGCTCCCCTTGCTTCTGATATCCCAGAGCAGAGAAGAGGGTCTGAACTAAAACTGTAGGGGCAGAAAGAGCAAAAGCAGCTATCTTCCTTAGCTTCCCTGGGCATGGCATTCATATGACGACATTTGTCACACGCAAATGAACCTGCTGTTCCCAACATGATAAATTTCACACCAGTCCTGCTGACTTGGGCTTACTAATTGCCCGATAGCATTTTCTTTGTTAAGCTTCACTGTGATCATCACACTTTTTGTTGAACTGACAGTAGAAATATTCTGCAGCCAACAGCCTAAATGCAGCCCAATGCACGAGGACCCTGATCTTTCATGATGGCGATATATGCAGGTACAGGTGTCGTTGTTCAGGCCCCCGAGCATCCAGTTTCTGAAACTGATCTCTGTGTAGGGCTTCCTGGGGCTGCCATAACGCACAACTTCAGGAAGATGCCATTCATACTGTGCTCCTGTGCCCAATGTCCCTGGAAGTGAGTGGGGTACAGCTTGTGCACTCTACACGGTGACCCTGGAAAACTCCATTCTGAATCTGGGGGTATGGTTGGGTAAAATGCAGGGAAACTAGTAAGGCTGTTCGCTAAAGGCAACTGGGGCAGGGCCCAGGGGAGAGCATCCATGTTCACAACACTGTTCTAGGTTGTGCTTTTTAAATTCTGAGCTGCCTGCCTCTCTCCCCAAGGCCCTTTGATGGAGACATCTTTAGTTTTACAGGTCAAGTTCAGCTGTCAAATGATATCCAGAGAAAGAGAGGCAGCCTGGATACTAAGGGATGATTAGAATACAACTGGGGTTTGGGGTGAGTAAGGGGAAACCCTGTGGAACTTGGAGGTATCTTCCCTGTGGGGGCAGTGACAGAGTGAGCCACAGGGAGGTCTCCTCACCTAATCTACACACTCCCTCCCAGCAATGAGATGCAGCCCTCTTATCAGCTGAAGAATTCAGCCAGCCGGTCAGGGTCGCATACCACACAGTGGCTGGGCCTGGCTCGGCTGTCTAGTCAAGAACAGGCTGGTCTTTGTTCCTATGTGACTGGGGGTGCTACTCAGGGATGGAGGATCTAGGGTGGGTGCAATTATGAGATTTTTTTAAAGGTATAGAAATTGTATCTCCCATCTTGGACCATGGGAAAATAAACTGAAGGAGTATGAGGTTGAAAGAGGAGAAAGTGGGGTCATTTTCATTGCTGTAAATTCCTTTTCCCAAAAGTGAACCATGAGTTCACCTGTCTTCCTATTGTTACAAGAGCCACCACAGGGGTCAAAACAGTGCATTTAACTTTTTAAATCTGGTTCACCTTCTCCTGAATTCATATCCCCTAAGGACTCATACTCCTAAAGTCTTGGCATCTAAAGAATTCTTATGGGCCATCCATCCATCCATCCATCCATCCAACAATCATTTATTGAGAACATACTATGTGCCACTCAATGGTGAACAAGAGAAACAATGACCCTGCTGTCATGGAGCTGACATGCTACGGGGTGAGATGGACAGTAAACAAGCAAACAAATAGCAAAACAATTACCAGATCATGGTAGATACCCAAAGAGGGAAAACCAATGAGACATGAGAAAATTAGTGGAGAGGTCTGGTGTGATCACGAAAGGCCTCTCCAAAGAGGTAACATTTCAGCTGAAAACTAAAGGACAAGAATAAGCCAACCATACAAAACTAAAATGAAAACAAAACAAAACAAACAAATGAACAAAAAATGGGAGAGGAGCATTCCAGGCAGAGAGATCAGCAAGTGTTAGTTAAGAGGTTTCTCTCAAGTGGGCACAAGCTTGGCAGGTTTGAGGGGCGGAAAGGAGCCCATCATGGCTGGAGCAGGGGGAACTTTGCAAAAACCCCTTATTCAAATGAAAATAACACAAAATCTAATATAAAATAAATCAAAACAGAGGGATTCAGATAAAGTCTGGTTAAAACCACTGATAAGG